GTACGTAACGTAGTAGTAGGTAGGTAGTAGTAGTACGTACGTACGACGACGTACGGTAGGTAGGTAGGTACGGTACGTACGTAGTTAGTAGTAGTAGGTAGGAGTAGAGAGTAGTAGTAGTAGTAGTAGTAGAGAGAGAGAGAGAGAGAGAGAGAGAGAGAGTCAAGTAAGATTTTAGTTAGAGAGAGGGGGGTGAGGGATGGCACGTGCTACTCCAATCATGCAGTACTAGCAGCACAGCATGTGCAGCAGTCTCTCACACTAAGCATCCATACCATCATCCATCCATTAGTATTGGTGTTATTTATCCATCTAGGAAGGCCCCCTCCCTATTATCACCTTCATAGAATGCTTTTTGACACCCATTATCTTTCTTTCTCTCTCTCTCTCAAAACAGACATAAAAAGGGCATCTCTCTCTAAGTGAAAAACATCCTAGAAAGAGAAGAGCATCTCTCTCTCTCCTGTGGGGTGGGCAGGTCTCCTTGCATGTTGGAGGGGATGAGGCACATGGGTTTTCTTAAAATGCGTCATTTCCATTGGAGTGGTTGCTTCATGAGAGGGGAACACTGAATGCCACGTCACATGGGTGGTATTTGGTTGTTGCGATGAGTAACGTTTCAGAGGGGCCACAACCTTCACTCATATCACACAACCCTTCCCATTCTCAATTATTAATGCGAGTCGTTTCCATTCCTAACCCCATCTATTAATATGCTCATCATGTTTTCAGTTCACTTCACTGTCAGCTTTGCTTACATGACAGCTCCCTACTTTTTCCCTAAACCATAAAAAATCATCTCTCTCTCTCTCTCTAAAATAAAACCTGTCCGAAAGTGGGATTTTAGACCGACTCACGCTGATAAATCTCACTAGGGATCACATCTCCGGCCACTAGTCAAAAAGTAGAAACAGGCCATATGGGACAAGCGATTAATAAAGGAAGATGGATCAGATGCCTTACCAAGCTAGAAAGGAACATTGGGAATAACGCCACACAAAAAAGGAAGTAAAAGGCTCAAGTCCACAAATGCTTAAATATATTCCCCCCCCCCACATGAGAAGCTGGATTTTGCTTGAATAAATAAAAGTCTTTATTTACCATTGCATCCTTAATGAAATGTTTATTAACAGCACAAAGTCACTGCACTCTCTCTTTTATTTGGATGATCGGTCCTGATCAAAAAAGAAAAGCAAATAAAGAAAGATAGCCCATCAGTTAGATGGACCATCTTATTCTGTGGAGTTCCAATGTGGCAGAGTTAGGATGAAGAGGAAGATATGAGTGCCGGCTGGCCAAGGAAACCTCTGTCTTTCAAACTATCAGCTGCCTCCTTTAGCGTGTCCTGAATAGGCCTGAATTTGAGGCCAAGATCAAGGAGCCTTTTGGCTGCATCTTTGCATCCCATGAGACCTGGCTGGGTTTCTTTAGCAAACCTGCAGATATATTGAAACCAATAAGCAACATGGATCTCTTTTTGAGTTTATATCAATCTATGATTTTGGTAGTTCTTTTTTGCTTAGGGACTAGGCACATGGTAAACCACCATATAATGGACAATGCTGTCTACATGAACAATATGCTGTCTAAAAATCAAAATATAATGGACAATTTTGGTAGTTCTTTTTTGCTTACGGTTTTGTTTTTAATTTAGTTCTTATTGAAATGCAGCTAAGAAACAGAGGGCTCGGCCTGAAACTTCTAACTTGGTCAATTCATACCTAAGCCTCACATGTGCATTCATGTAGAGATCTAACATGTACCAAGTACACTAAGGAGAGTCTACAGGGAAGCATTTGAGCCATGCGAACGTAGCAAGGTTCCCAAAGAAGCTCAAAGAATGCAAGCTACAATATACCAAGACCTTATCACTTTAATCCCCACATGTAAGTAGTAATATCTATAGATTCTATGATTTATCACGCAACATATTTACCTATACAACGCAAATTTTTCCACATTGTTCTATAGCATACTTTTCTTAATCAACCAGATCTTTTTTTAATTGCTCAATGTTACGGCCTAAATGCTGAACTATTGATCCTACTTGTTCGGATGGGTGTTCTTCTTACGCTGTTCTGAATTTTCTTCATTTCTATTTAAACTTTTGAATTCAGGAGAGAAATAAATTAGAAAGCTCACTGCCTAACAAGAATACCGGGTATCACTTTTTAAGTCCTGACATGCTGCATTCTCTGGTGATATTATTGGTTAAGCCGACAAGGGGCATGTCAGTAAGGCTCTCAATGAGGAAAAAAAGGTAGAGGGTAGGGTGATATATAAAACAACTTGTTGGATCTTCAATGTTAACTGCAAAGTTCTGTGAAGTAAAATTGAAATTGAGAAAGACCATCAAAACGAGCAAGGGAAGATCGAGTCAGATTGCTTTTACCATAGCAGACTTTTTCTCAGAGGTATCAAAAGAGAATGAAAGGATACATCCCCAACTTGTGAGATATTGAAACTGTGATGATGCTCCATGAAACCCAAAATGGATATCTTCATGGCAACTTGATTAAACTCTTGATGCATAAAAGAAAGATTAAATTTAGTAGGTCCTTCCCCTCGAAAGAAAAAGGGCGAGTCTCTACATTGCCTCAACATCTAACACAGGATGCACCACAGGGAGATTTTAAATCTTGGATGACTTATTTTTCTAAAAGTCCCAAGTGCATCCTTAAACCCACAATAAAGATATTAACTCTCCACCCAAACCTGGAAACAGATAATTATTTCTCCAATCAACCTTAGTGAACCCTCCAACTCAAGTAGGCCCAAGATTCCCTTCAATGCAATAAAATCCAAGTAACAAAGGGACTGATGCTGTACTGATCATTTATTCGACCCTAGAGAGGTCCTCTATCTACAATCCACTAACCCATATTGCTAGGAACCTTCCTAAATATCTTGTTCACCTCTGCTTTCTTATCTCCAAACATCCTCTTGTACTTTCTTGCCACAGCATCTATGTAAACCCACAATAGAGCTAAGACTCTCTCTTTAAAATCAGTTAAAACCATGGGTAAAGAAACAGAAGCTAAATGGAAGAAAAAGTTCAACAAAGAAATAAAATAAAGCCAAAAATCTTAAGGATCTCCTTCAACATAATAAAGAGAGCAATCTACAACTATGAGAGAGCTCAAAAGAAACTCTACACCTTTCACAGTTGTTCAATATCTAACATAAAACTGAAAAGTCGTCCTCCATCAAAGCCCCTTAAATAAAAATATCCAAACTTCTGCTCCAAAATTTTTTTGCTACAAATAGAAACCTAACTTATTTGTCAACTTAATGAAACTTCTGCTCCAAAGTTTTTTGCTAAAAATAGAAACCTAACTTATTTGTCAACTTAATGAGAATCTTTCACTCCACATGGGGAAAGAAACCTATCATGCAAAATGCAAAACCCATGCAGCTGCCAATGCTTGAAAACAACTCCCAAAAGCATGAAAATAGTAATTAAAATGGGAAATTATCACAAATATACCTTAATTTTTGTCTATTTAGAAAAAAAACCCTCAACTTTGAGCATTTTTTTTACTAAAATACCTCGTCCACACTCTTTTTCTTCAATTTTGAGCATTTTTTTTATCAAAATAACCTTCATGGTAGTTGATTACCGTGAAGCCAATTGCGGTACTTTAATTACCATAAAAACTAATCTATGTTATACGCCATTTTAAGTACCGTAAAAACTAACCCATGTTATATGGCATTTTAAGTACTGTGAAAACTAACCCATGTTATACGGCACTCAAAATGCCGTAAACCCTTTTCTCTTGTTCATATTTATCTCTTTCATCTCTCTCTAATTTTTAATATTCATCTCTTCTTTCTCTCTCTAAATCTTTTTTCTCACTAACTCTCTTTCTCTCGCAACTTACTTCATCAACTCAACAAACATGATTCCAACGCGATACAAATCTGACTCTATCTAATTTTTATAGGGGATGGGGTTGAAGCGAGTTTTTATAGGGGATGGTAAGGTACGCACAGGTTGTTATACAAATCTCCTTGGAGAGAGAAAGAGAGTTAGAGAGATAAAGAAGAGATAAAAAAGAATTAGTGAGAGAAAAAAAAGATAAATATTAAAAAGAACTAGAGAGAGAAGAAGAGATAAACATAAAAAGAATTAGAGAGATGAAAGAGATAAATAAAAATAGGATGAAAGAGATAAATATAAACAGTAGAAAGAGGTTTATGGCATTTCGAGTGCCGTATAACATGGGTTAGTTTTTATGGTATTTAAAATGCCGTATTACATGGGTTAGTTTTTACGGTACTTAAAATGCCGTATAACATTTTAGTTTTACGGTACTTTAAGTGCCATAATTGTGCTTCACGGTAATACGACTACTATGAAGGTTATTTTGGTAAAAAAAAGTCAAAATTGAAAAAAAGGGCGTGGTCGAGGTCTATGAAAGTTAAAATTTTTTTTTAAAATAGACGAAAATTAAGGTATGTTTGTGATAATTTCCCTAATTAAAATGCATATAATTTTGCCAAAGTAAGCATACCCCACATACCAAAATTCCTAGACAATGAATGAAAATTCGACTGCCTTGCCGCCCAGACGGCCTGGCCGACAAACTACCTAAGGGGTGGGGTCTAGGCGGGCGCCTAGGCCGTCAAGGTGAGAACCTAGGCAGGCTCAACGGCGGTCTGAGCATCCACCTAGTGCCATGCCTTTAAAAAAAAAAAAAAGTCAAATCTATCCAAACAAAAGTAAGGCCTGGTACGCCCTTCTCTCTCTCTCTCTCTCTCTCTCTCTCTCTCTCTCTCGTCGTCGTC